AGTATTGTGGCCCATTAATAAAACAACACTTAGTGATTTTGAACAATTTCTCAAGGACATCTTTGGCAGTCTGGGCATTTATATTCAGTTGAAGACTGTCCACAATAGTCTACTGACATTTGTTTGTGTAATACCACACTGGCTAGTGGAGGAGATGAAGGATTATGTTATGAAGAATGGTGACCTTTTTAAGTCTAAAGGAGTAGTTGAAATTACTGTTGATGGAACTATTGTATTTAGTGTGGTAAGTTATAATGGTATATTAGTATTTTGAGTTTTGTAATAGAAACCGTCATTGGAGCCTCATCAGTTGCCAATAGGTATGATAATGTATGTTCATGTATGCATGGTTTGTATGGTGTAATATTTACTGTAGAAAATGAAGAAAAGGAGGAAGAGTCATTGCAGCAGAATGAGGAGGAAGCAGAAGAAGTAATTTGTATGTATAGTTATTTTAAAATGTTTCTTATGAAAGGAATGTATTGGTACACAAGAGGACAGAAGATCATATGCTTGTCTGATGTTTTATGAGAAGAATTCTTTTATATATTTTACTGCTGTACCAGTTAAAATGTTGACTGCCCTTCTTGAGGTAATGATAATAATAATAATAATAATGTTTTTAATGTACCAAATATAGTACATCAAAGATCATCATCGTTTTGCTGACATTGGTCCAATTCATTATTTTCATTTCAAATGGTTCAATGGTTTTATTGAATTGAGTTTTAATGAGAACCCACCAGCTGGTTGGACTGTCATTCCATTAATTAAACCTTGCAGAGTAAGATTATTAATATTATTAGTTTATTAATTGATTCAGTTCCTTCAGTTATATCAAGAAGATATTGATTCATTTGATGGAACTGATGAGTCTATTCCTCCATATTGTTTCATATCATTTCAAGGATCACCTGATGCTGTCCCTACACTACACTACCCCATACCACTGGTGGGTGTGGCTGATCCTGTTACATTATTTATTCATAGAACATTGAAAAGCACTGCTCCACCAGTTGGTATGTACTTGTACAGTGTAACTAACTATTGCATTAATGTATAGCACCTTATACTGGACTGGTGTATCATGAGAAGAAGGAAGAGAAACATTTGATGATATTCACTGCAGCAAGACTCAAGGATATTAGTAATGCTGTAAATGTAAGCTATAAATATTTATCATAGGATGAGACATTACTTTTTTACAGTGTATAGAGGAGCAGTATCCGTTAGCTAGAATAAATCAACTGATTGGTTTTGATTTTGATTCAAATCATGATCGCATTGAATTGATACTTGATGCTCCTCAAGATCAGTCAATCACTGGATGGACTATTGAACCTCATTCCACTAAAGTATGAACTCATTATACTTTGTTTATATTGACAGCTGCATATTCCTATAGTTACTCAAAAATCAAATTGACAGATTTAGTTTCACTAAAACTCTTCCTTCATCTTGTCTTGTATCCTTTTATTCATCACCTGATGCTGTTCCTACACTACATTACTCAGTACCACTGGTGGGTGTGGCTGAAACTAAAGCAATTGATTTATTGTTAGAATCTGCTATGACATCTTTACAAAGTAATTATACTTAAATTTGTTTTTTTAGAAAGTAAAAAAAAATTTTTCTGCAGATTGTAATACTCATGCAAAAATGGCTCCAAAATCACTCCAAATTTATATTACATTTTCTGATACATATTGATGTCCTTATGCTGTGTAGAAAGTTTGAGCTGATTTTGACAAGGAACTCTGGAGTTATGAGCATTTGCATAGGATTTGGCGTTGCATATTGATGTCCTTATTGTTTTCCTTACAGTGTCCTATGTTGGATTGATATATTATGAATGGAAAGGAAAAGAATATTTAATTACATTTACTGCCTCAAAGAAGTTAAATCATCTACTTAAAGTACAGTAACTGATATAAGTTATACATGTATCGTCATTACTAGTACATTGAGGAGTATCATCCGTTAGCTGAGATTGGTCAAGTTTATAATTTCTCCTTCAGTCCCTCCAGTGGTTTTATTGAACTATTGTTTAATGATTCTTGTAAAGGATGGACAGTGCAACCATTAGTTAAGCCATGCAGAGTGAGTATTGAATTATGTACATGTAAAATATTATTATACTAATAGTTGTATCAAAAGTACATTGACAAATGTGGTGAAGCTAATTATCTTCTTCCTTCATCTTGTCTGGTATCAGTGTATGCATCACCTGATGCTGTTCCTACACTACATTACTCAGTACCACTGGTGGGTGTGGCTGATCCTGTTACGATATTTATTGATAGAAAACTTCAGCTAGAAAGTAATTTAGGTTATTTCCAGTTATAACATTACAAGTTTTGACAGAGAAGGAAATGAAGCTTCAGAAATACATTGAGTCTTTACATCAAGAACTACAAGTGGTTTATCAGAGTATAGTATTTTTACAGGAGGCACTGACTAGGGCCAATGAACAAGGTACATGTGCATTTATATGTGTAATATGTTGGATAAAGTATACTGAGTATGTATTGTGATTGTTATTGCAATAAGACATTAGACTACAATCATCATCATGTCATAATGATTTTTAGGCTCTAAAGTTGCAATTGATCACAATAAACTAGTTACTATGAGTAAGAAATTGGAAGAGGTTCTGAAAGAGAAACAGATTCTTACTGGTGAGTGTATCATCAGTACATAATATTAGATGAGTCTATTAATGTAGAAGATAATGAGAAACTTAGAGCAGCAGTTGCCTCTAATGAAGTATGGATAATTGAAATGGAAGAAGAGAAAGAACAATTAGAGGAACAATACCTCATTGACAAACAGATTACTGAAGGTTAGAGTATTTTCATCAATATGTGCATGTGTGTATTACAAGTGAGAATATTTTTAGAAAGTAAAACTACATTTGTTGTTAGTGATGCATACATAACTGAATGGGAGGAAGAGAATGAAAAAGTAAAGGAACAATATCTCAAGGAGAAACAGATCACTAAAGGTTAGAGTATTGTTATTAATGTGTATGTTATATGAGAGAATTTTAGAACTTAAGGCTAAAGTGTCTGATAATGAATTGTATACTGCCAAACTATTGAAGGAGAAGGAGCAACTACAGGAGAGAGTCACATCCATAGATCTTATGGAGAAACAGCTCACTGAAGGTTAGAGTGTTAACGTCATCAATGTGTGTATAGTGGGAGAATATTCTAGATAATGAGAAACTTAGAGCTACAGTTGCTGATAAAGAAGTATATATAGCTGAAATAGAAGAAGATAAGAAACAAGTAAAGGAAGAGAAGAGAAAAGTAGAAGAAGAGAAACAGATTCTTACTGGTTAGTGTATCATCAGTACATGATAATAGATGAGATCATGAGTCTATTAATGTAGAAGATAATGAGAAACTTAGAGCTACAGTTGCTGATTTGGAAGGAAAGGAAGAACAATATCTCAAGGAGAAACAGATCATTATTGGTTAATTAACTATAATACCGTATACCGGTTTATTTTCGTGGTAAAATATTTTCGCAAATTTCGCAGTTTGGTGGTCATTCTCGAAATTTTTTTTACTGCAAAATTCTGCTCTCCATTGCCACGTGGTGCAGTCTGCAAGCAATTCGCAAAAATTAATTCTGCAAAATC